TGTGTGCCCAAACTATTGTGCTCTATGGGGAGGAGTTTGAATCAGAGGAGGTTCAAAGATCTGAGGTAGTGTATCAGGTAAGAGATGTCTTGAGAAGCATTCATTGAGCCTTTTGGGGAGAATGAGGGAAAATGTAGATTTGGAAGGGAAGATTTGTGAGATTCCTAATCATTCTGCCTTAATCATAATTTTTTCTTTAGAAATTTTCACTAGTGATCCAAGCATGATAGCACACACACAGCTTCTCAGAATATGGAGGTAGGAAGATTGTGGTCTGAGGCTGGCTTTAAGCAAAAGCTCAAGACACTATCTGAAAAATAAAAACTAAAGAAAAAAGGGGTGGGGGACATGAATCAAGTGGTAGAACACCTGCCTACCAAGCACAAGGCTCTGAATTCAACACTTAGTAACATAAAAAGAAAAAAATCTCCCTCAGTCTACCTCTTACTTTCTTTCTCATTCTCTAAAAGTATTCACTCCTCTTTCCTGTCTCTGTCCTGTCTGTTCTCAGTTCAGTCTCTTGTTTTCATTTAGTTTTATCTTTTTCCATCTTCTCACCACCAAATATTGCTTTTGACACATATGCTTCTCTTCTCCACAGTTTTCCCATGCTTTCTCTCTGTTTTCCACTTAGTCAGTCCAGATTCACCCCACTGTATACAACTTACTCCTTACAAATAAGATCATGATTATTTATTACTCTGTATTCCCTATCTCTTGTCTCCAGGTCTTATTGAAAACAGGTTTGATATCAAACAAAATAATTTCTCCAAGATTAGCAGAATTCCTATAACCTTCTAATATCATAATTTGATACCCATCAGGATTGTGGGAGAAAAAGTCTCTGCACAGATTTATCTCTTCCAGATGCCAAGAGATCTTCAAAACACTGGGAGGGGTTTCTTCTACACGCCCATTATTAAGTTGGGCAAAGAAACCTAGCAACTAGCAACTGATAAAAAGAAGGAAAAGTGATAGGATTACAGGGCATAAGAAGAAAATCATGAATATTATACTTCTGATATAGTGTACATGATATTTTTACTTTGTTTCAAATTCATTGGTAGAAGGTAGAAATGCAGTTGAGTTTGTATGTGTGTGACCTTTCACTATTTATGTATTTGTCCTATTAGGTTGTTCTGTTGTTCATGTTTTTTGTTTTTGTTTTATTGCACAGTCCTTATATTTTTCTGGGAATACATGTACATAGCCACGAATAAAGAGAACTTTATTTCTTAACAAAAAAAAAGAAAAAAATCATAGTGGTACTACCTTGAAAGTAAAGTTCCTCTTCAAAAAAGAAACCAAGAATCCTGTGCCTAATGTGCAACTCTTTAGCTGGAATTCTAGTTACAAATGGCCTGGTGTGCACTGATTTCTCTTATTGTATTGGTCATACTGATCTTTAAGATATTCTTTTGGTCTTTTGTATCTGCAGGTACCCCATAATATGAGATCTACATGTATATTTAGAATAAATCAGGTATATCTAGTTGTACTTCTCATTTACTTTCCCTACTTGATATTTATTGAAATTTTTGCCCCTGGTGGTTGATGTATCTCATCTATTCTGAAAAGATCAAAATATTTGGCTTCATTTTCTCTCCTCTTCAACCAGGGATTGTGATTAGGAGTATGTTAGATACTCTTACCCTACCCTCTATTTCTCTTACACTAGCTTCAGTATTTTCCAGTTTTCATTTTCTCTCCATCTTCAGCCTTAGTAGATTTCTCTGAGCTCCTATCCAAAAGTTTGCTGTCTTTAGTTGCCTCTAATCTACTTATTCATATTATCACAATGCATTTTTCAAATATATTCAGTTCTTTTTCACATGTGCTTTGTCCTTTTTAAGAATTCCAGTGCTGTCAGCAAAACATTGAAATTCATACTTTATCTTCTAATTCCAAGTAAAAAAAAAAGGTAGAGTAACTAAGCCAGATAAGAATACCATGTCTCTCTGAACTGCACTTCTGAATTTTCTGCTTATCTATTAGAACTTAATTCTAAAACTTTCTCTAGTTCTATCTTCTCATTCACAAATTATCACTTTAATTTGGCTAATTACTACCAAACATATCTCTAAAATTTTTCTTTTAGTTATGTTATATTTCTAGGAGATATGACACGCTTCTTTTAAGCATATTTATTCCTTGCTTATATTTTCAAGTTTATTCAGAGAGAAAATTTATTCATTAGTCTTTATCAAATTATTCCAGTATCTCTAGCTTTTATGGATTAGATTCTGCTATCTATAATTTTATAGGCCTTTACTCATCATTTTTTTTCTTTTTAATTGTTATTTTTACTGCAAAGAAACTGATTTCATCTGATGGTTACATTTTGAAATTCTTTGAGGTTTAAGGTGAAAGTTTGTTCCTCAAAAATTATTTGGAATTGTTTCTGTTATTTTCTGGTGCTACTGCGAATCCAGGATAATATTCAATTTTTTTTTTTAGCCAAAGAGTTGACATAAACTCAGGCTAAACAGTCACATGGAGACTAGTCTATGGTTCCATGTTTACAAGGACACATTCTCTCCAAGAAGACTGGAGGCAGTCAGTTTTCTTTGATTTTCAAGATGAGAGTGGGGGTGGGGGGAAGAATCTGTTTATTTCTAGTGCACATCTTCCCTGCAGATGAAATGCTGTAAAGAACTGTGTGGTACATCACGTAATTAATTCCCTACCTTCTCGAGCCTGGTTTTTATTCTCTTACTTATAAATTGACATATGAGTTGAATTTTTTAATTGACATGTCAATTGTTCCAGAGTTCTGGAAGCCCAGAAGACAGGAAATTGTTTCATGTCTACTGACATATGAAAATTTAATTGACACGAAATTATGTACAGCATAATGGGGTTTTTTTTCATTTATTCATATGTGCATACATTGTTTAGACACTTCTTCCACCTACCCCCCAGCCCCTCATTCTCCACCCTACCCCTCTCACATCCAGGCAGAATCTGTTTTGCCCTTATCTCTAATTTTGTTGAAGAGAGAGAATAAGTAATAATAAGAAAGACAAAGCATTTTTGCTAGTTGACATAAGGATAGCTATACAGAGATTCCTAGCATTGCTTCCATGTACAAATGTGTTACATTCTAAACTGATTCATCTCTAACTGTCCTTTTTTTCTAGTTCCTGATCCCCTTCTCATATTGACTTCTGTTGCTATAAACTTTCTGTATTAGTTCCTCTGCAGTGGGGACATCAAATACTATCATGTTTTGTGTTTCTTACCTATCCCCAAACCTCCCGTGTGTGCTCTCCCCTTATCATGTGCCCCAAGTCCAACCACATTGCTGTATTTGCCCTAGATCTAAAGTCCACATATGAGGGAGAACATACGATTTTTGGTCTTCTGAGCCTGGCTAACCTCTCTCAGAATGATGTTCTCCAGTTCCATCCATTTACTTGGGAATTATAAGATTTCATTCTTCTTCACAGCAGAGTAGAATTCCATTGTGTATAAATACCACATTTTCTTAATCCATTCGTTAGAAGTGGGGCATCTTGGCTGTTTCCATAACTTAGCTATTGTGAATAGCTAGTGCTGCAATAAACATGGGTGTGCAGGTGCCTCTGGAGTAACCTGTGTCGCATTCCTTTGGGTATATCCCCAGGAATGAGATTGCTGGATCATATGGCAGATCTGTTTAGATTTTTAAGAAGCCTCCAAACAGCATAATGTTTTTGAAGCATGTAATCATTGGGGAATGAATAAATCAAGATGATTAATATGCACTGAAAATGGAGAGTGGGATGATGGTTACCACAGACTGAGTGGTTGTGTGCAGGGTTGGGAGAGGTGATGATATAGAGAAATATTGGTCAAAGGGTGCAAAATTTCAGTCACATGAGCCAGGCACTGTGGCTCATACCTGTAATCTCAGCACAGGTGAGATGAAAGGAAGAGAATCAGAAGTTCAAGGGTAGCCTGGATTACATAGCAATTTCCAGGCAAGCCTGAGCTTCATAGTCAGACCTCGTATCAAAAAAAAAGTTGTACAATCTATGATAATAAAATAAAATGAAACTCTGAGACACAAAATCACTAAGATAGGAGGAGTAAGTATAAGAGAGCTATTGTACAACACAGTGACTATAGTTGATGATACATTGTATTATTGAAAAATGCCAAGAGAGCGGATCTAAGTCATTCTCACCCTAAAAACGATAATTATGTGAGCCTAGATTTCATGATATGTCCTTGACCTCCATTAGGTAATGAAGTAGTTCTTACATTCATGTGAAGCATGGCTGTTTGGGTTGGAAATCAATATCAATGTTTTCTTTTAATAACTGTACTGCAATCGATCCCTAGCCTGAGAATTCTTTCTTTTTCACTTCCCATCGACATATTTGTGGCACTCAAGTATAGGTATTGTTATGGATATAGACACAGGTATAGGTACAGGTATGAGTATAGGTATAGGTTTAAGCACAGGTGTGATTGTGGGTCCTGCTGTGGGTATGAACATGAGAATGGGAAGATATAGGTGCAGATAGAGAAACAGATATACATATAGACATGGGCAGACATGAGATTTTTGTCTACTTTAATCAGGAAATTTGTTCTTTGGGGTTTTTTTGTTATTGTTGTAAGTAAGGAATTTGAATTCAGGGCCTACACCTTGAGCTACTCTACCAGTCCTTTTTTTGTGAAGGGTTTTTTCAAGATAGGGTCTCTCCAACTGTTTGCCTGCGCTGGCTTCAAACCATGATCCTCCTGATCTCTGCCTCCATAGTCGCTAAGATTACATTCCTGAGCCACAGGAAATTAGTTCTTTGTACCCAGTGCATCATGCTTCTGGATACCTTCAGTTTTTACTTCCTTGAAAATTTATTGGAAAACATCTAGTTTTCACAATGTTTTTCTTTTACAGTCAATTTTGTTTTATTTTTGCAGAATTTTAGGTATAGTTAATTTTAGGTAAATATAATTCTTTCTCTTTCTTCAGCTATTCAAAGACATCCACCTCACTGTAGTGACTGCTAATGCTGCCTTATAGCAATAGCTCCCTTCCTTTGGAAGTCTCAGAATTTATCCTGAATTGCTTTGTCACATCTCCTATCTGGCAGTTCTGGCTGTCCCTGCCACTCAGTCTCCTCTTCGTCCTGGCCATGGGAGCCAACACCATCTTTCTCATCACCATCCAGCTGGAATCCTCTCTGCATGAGCCCATGTACTACCTGCTCAGCCTGCTCTCCCTGCTGGATGTCGTGCTCTGCCTCACTGTCATTCCCAAGGTGCTGGCCATCTTCTGGTTTGACCTCAGGCCCATCACCTTCTCTGTCTGCTTCCAGATGTTCATCATGAACAGATTTCTCCCTATGGAGTCCTGCACCTTCCTGGTCATGGCCTATGACCGCTATGTGGCCATCTGCAGGCCTCTGCATTATGCTTCCATAATTACTGAACAATTTGTAGTGAAGTCTGTTGTCTTTATCTTGATCCGGAATATGTTTCTCAGTTCACCCATCCCCATCCTCTCTGCCCAGCTCCACTTCTGTGGACAAAATATAATTGAGAACTATGTCTGTGCCAACCTCTCTGTGTCCAAGCTCTCCTGTGATAGTGTTGACCTTAACAGAATCTTCCAGCTGACTATGGCCTGGACTCTTCTGGGCTCTGACCTCATCCTCATCTTCCTCTCCTATACTTTCATCCTCAGAGCAGTTCTTAGACTAAAGGCAAAAGAAGCAGTTGTCAAAGCTCTAAGCACCTGTGGTTCTCACTTTATCCTTATCCTCTTCTTTAGCACCATCCTGCTGGTTCTTGTCTTTACTCATGTGGCCAAGAACAAAGTTTCCCCTGATATCCCTATCTTACTTAATGTCCTGCATCATGTCATTCCTGCAGCTCTGAACCCCATTGTCTATGGAGTACGAACCCAGGAGATTAAACAAGGGATTCTGAAATTACTGAAAACGTGTGGGTAACATCCAAAAGTAATTGTGTTCTTGCTTTGCTTTTCTGGATGAAGAATTCCCAAAATATTAGAAATTAATCCTAATATCCTTTCTGAACATAACTGATCATGTGAACTATATGCCTTCCTTCTAATCCAAAGACACCACTCATTCCATTCCATGCATTTCTAGAAGAGAATAAGGAAATCTATATATCATCTCCCACCACACTACCCAGATAAGGGGCTATGAATCTTTGATAAGTCAAACATCAAGACCTAATTATTTGCTCCTGATTGAATTCCAAGTGGAGCCTGTGGAGATGGAAAAATGAATACTCCAAGAAGTATGGGTGATGGTGACAATTCACAGCTTTAGAACAATAAAGGTAACATTAAAATAACTTTTAAACACATAGACCAGTGGAATACAATACAGGAAACAGACATAAACTCACATAGCTAACAGCCATCTGACTCTCAACAAGGGTGCTGAAAATAAGCATTGGCAAAAAGTTTCTTCAAGTAGCGCTGGAAATACTGAATATCAATACATGGAAGACTGAAACTAGATCCTTATCTCTCATGCTATACAATAATCAACATTAAATGGATTGAAGACCTTAGTGTTAAAACCTCAGATTATGAAACTTTTATAGAAATACACTTTAAGACATAGGCATAGGCAGTAACTTTCTGAAGAGGACTCCAATATCTTAGGAAATCATAGTGAGAATTGACAAAGGAGGATTGTATCAAATTTTTTAAAATTCTGCACATCAAAGGAAACAACTACAGAATGAAGAGACAACTTACATAACAAAAAAAGGTCTTTTCCAGCTATGTATCTGCCAAGATATTAATATCCAGAATACATAAAGAACTCAAATACTTAAACACTGAAATAATAAATAATCCAATCAATAAATAGGCAAATGAATTGAACAGTCAGCTCTTAAAAGAAGTACAAATAGCCAACATACTTACTTAGCCATAAAGAAATGTAAATCAAAATAATTTTGACATTCCATCTCACCCCAGTAAGAATGGTTATCATCTAGTAAACCAACAAAAGCAAATGCTGGCAATGATGTAAGGAAAAAGGAACCCCTAAACATCTGGTAAGAATGTACATTACCGCAGCCAGTATGGAATTCAGTATGTAAGTTCCTAAAAACACTAACAATAGAACTACCATCTGATCCTGCTATATCTCTACTGTGTTTACACTCAAAGGAATGTAAGTCAATATACAATAGAGATACCTACACACTTGAGTTTACTACAGCACTACTCAGAATAACCAAGATACAGAATCAGGCTAGTTGCCCACCAACAGATGAGCAGATAAAGAAAATGTGGTATATAAACACAATGAAGTTTTACTCAACTATAAAGAATTGTTATGTCATTTTCAGAAAAATGAGTAACACTGGAGATCATTAAGTTAAAGTATGCTAAGCTAAAAAAGCCACCTTGGTCTACATAAGGAGAACCTGCATTAATAAGCAAACAATAACAAAAAATACAGAAAAGCTATAACTAAAACGTGAACCATCATGGAGCAGAGTAGACAATATAAAATTTCTTTGTTTATTTATGGAACACCAAATATAATTCTTTGTGGCTTCTCTAACCCAGTTAGTATGTGTACTAGAGTTCTAATTTTTAAGTTCAAAACATTGAGGTAACCTTGCCTCTCTCATAACTAATACCTGAACTATCAACAAATCCTGTAAGTTTCAGAATCCCATTATTTTTCACAATTAGTAATATACAAACCCAAGTCACCTCATCTCTATTCTAGATTATTGTAATCACCTCTTGAAGATAGGGTGATTGTCTCCTTTCTTCTGTTCCTGTTTTCCTATAGTTTATCCCAAACACAGAAGCCAAAGTGACCACTTTAAAATAGGTAGAGCCAGTTTTACCACTGCTATACACAAAAGCTCTGTAGAGCTTCACAACTTATTCAGAATAAATAAATAAAATAAATTTACCAGGTCATACACAATCTGACCCTCATCTGCCTATCCAACCTCTTCCTTTACTCAATTTTATCTAAACATCTCCTTAGCAATTTGACAAAAACACCAACCACATCCTTTTTTCTAAGGCTTTTTGTTTATTTCCTCTGCCCACATATTTCTCTCTTTCAGATTCATTGGTTCTCTTTAACCATAATATTTAACACAGTATCCAACAATATTTACCCCAAACACAATTTACTAGGGGCTTCCTGTTCTCTGATCTACATAGCATTTATTAAAGTCTAATGACCATAAATTTCACTTATTCATTACTTTAGTTATACAACTTTCACAAAACATAAGCATCATAAGAGCAGAAATTCTTAACATTCACTGCTATACCTCCAACACCTAGAACAGACCTTGACATTTGGTAGAGACCAATCAATATTTGCTAATTAAATGCCTGAATGAATATTTAATAAATGATGAATGTATGTTTGTCACTAATTCTGATGTGGTTCTATCCTCTCGGTTTTGAGATTAGGTGACAAAGATTGGAGAAGGAGCATATTTAAAACATGCTCCCGTGCTGATGGAATGGCTCAAGTGGCACTTGCCTAACAAACATGAGACCCTGAGTTCAAACTCCACTACCTCCAAAAGAAAAGAAGAAGAAACATGTTCCCGTGGTCTGAGAAACAGCATGGAGCTTCACTGCAAAAGCAGGTGGGGGTTGGGAGTGAGATCCAGAAGTACTTCTTTGAGACACTTTGACTTTGGAAACTCATGAGACATACAAGTGAGGTCTACGGTAGACACTTGGACTTACATTTTCTTCCCCCAGAAGAAAGTGTAGCAATGCTGCTGCTGTTGGCAGCACTGTGAAACTCTGAAACATGTTTAGTTGAAATTATGTAGATCTTCTTGCATCTGCAGTTCCCCAAAAGCATTATTCAACACCAGCTGCAACATTACCCGTGACACTGCATTATCGATGGTGGTGCCCAGTAATGGTGGCATCTTGGACTCTCTCAAAAGATGCTTTTCTTCTTTATGATGACAAGCCCAAAACATAAGACTTGATATCATCTATGCATAAGTCCTAAATATTTTTATGCAGAAAAACAATAATGAATCTTCTGGCCATGTGAAATTTTCTCTTCACTTTCACACATATTCTCTTGAACTGTTTAGTTTATAATCTCTGCCTTCCTACTGCAAAATCTTTCAATATTGACCATGGTGTCTCTAGTGACTGATGGAAACACCATGCCCAAAGGCACCTTCCATAACACTACCTGCAAAACAGATGTCTAAAACAAGGATGTTTATATTTGTTCTTGAATACAAGAATTGCCCTGGCTATAAACCTGTTGCAATGTATAATATTAAGATGAACTCAGCCTTGCCTGGGATACATGGTAAGACCCTGTCTCAAAACAACAACAAAAATGAATCTAATAATATGAAATGGGCAAATTTTAAAGCTAGAATTTGATTACAAAACATGTTTTTCATACACAAGATTATATATGTCTAGAAATTCTATTCAAAACATATAAAATGATACATGAACTGAATGCCAGTGGCTCATGCTTGTAATCCTAGCTACTTGGGAGGCAGGGATCTGGAGGAATGAGATTTGAGGTCAGTCTGAGCAAATAGTTCACAAGACTCCACCTCTAAAATAACCAGAGAAAAATGGACTAGAGGTGTGTGTGGTTCAAGTGGCGAGAGCCCACATTGTAAGCAGAAACACAAGTTCAATCCTCATTCCCAAAATGAAAAGAGAGAAATGAAATTCATGAATTAATATATGTTTACGTAGAAAAATATTTACCTTCATTTCAACAGTCATTAATTATGTCTTTGAAATTAAGATTTTTATGTAATGAATGTTAGATCCACAGCAATGCCAGCACAAAATTAAATTAAATTAAACTTAAAATTAAATATACTCTTGAAATTAAACTTTCTCAAGCCACTGTAGTACTAGATGTATTTCTTAATGTAACTTTAGAGAAACTTAGGACAGGAATGTGGCACATACCAGTAATTCAAGCTGTATGAGAGGTGGAGGTTTGAAGATCACCATCAAAGGTCAGCCCAGACAAAAACCACAGGACCCTACCTGTGAAATAAACAAAAGCAAAAACGCTAAGGGTGTGGATCAAGTAGAGCACTTGCCTACCAAGTAGCCCACCAGTAGGCTACTGCCCCATTTCATCCTTATGCCCTTTCCCATTCTCTCTTTTGCCTTTCTGATGCACTGTCCTAATCTTGCCCTGTGTCCTATTCATCAGCTTCTTCTATTTTCTTAGTTTTCCTGCTTTCCTTTATTTATTTCTTAACTATTTCTTTTTTTTATTGTGCTCAGGGAATACATTGTGGCATTTCAAAAGTTCTTACACTGTATCAAATATATTATACTTGAATTTACCCCCTCCACGGCTCTCCTTTATCCCCTCTCCCCCCACTCCTGGAATCATTTCAACAGGTATCATTTTTGCATTTATATACATGTGTGTACATTTTTACACCATATTCATCTTCCTACTGCATTTCCCCACCACCTCCCCAATACCACTGGTACCAACCTCCCTTGGGCAGGATCTGTCTGCCCTCCTGTTCTCCAATTTTGTAGAAGAAAAAAGAAACCAATGATATTTTTGCTTGTTTGAGATAAAGGTAGCTACACAGGGAGTTTCCTTGTGATAATTCCATGTATATATATATATATATATCATAACCCCAATTGGGTTTTTAATTTTAAAAATGCAAAGTTAAATTTAAAAACAATGATTTTCAGAAAGTGAAAAAAAAAAAAAACTTGTCTCAGAATTCAAGCAACTTTGCTTCCAATACATATGTTCATCAGAAACGAAACCAAGAGTCATTCCAGATTAAAATAAGTGGTTCACAGAAGATATGAAATCCTGATTGGCATGCTACATTGGGGTGGGGTCATTTTGAGAGTAGCTACAACAAATGCTGACAAGAGGTAAAGTTAAACACTAAAGCTTCCCCTTTTGAGACAAGGTCTTGCTACATAGCCCAG